TGTAATAGACACAAAGTTCAATAATGGACAGTTATCGAGTTATAACCAGTCAAACATGAAACATTCGGGTTTCCAAATAGTCAAATCTCAATGTTTTAAACAAAAATAATAGGGTTTTACTAAATCTATTAGCTAGTAATATTTTTTTGAATTTTGAATGACCTTGAAAAGCTCCGTCAACCTAAAAATCCTCCACAAAAATCTTTATATTTATTTATTTATTTATTCATGTAAACGGGAAAATTCCCTCTAGTACAAACAATAGTTTATAAAGAGAAATAAAAAAAAAAAGAAAAATACAATAACATATAGAAATATATAAAGATTAAAAGAAATAAAACAAAACAAAAAAATATAGATTAAACTTATGCGGAAAGATTAAGACTAAGAGCAAGATCAAGATTAAGGCCAGATTACGATCAGAAATCAAACGCATGCACGCATCCAAATATTTGAAAATTCTATTTGACTGCTACCTCAACCTGTCGGCTGATGCACGCCAATACAGAACGCCTAAACTCATGTTCAGAAGAATGAAAGAAATCGCACCGATTCGCATATGAATTTGCTAACATACACAATCTATTTAGCGGTTTATTTTTACCGTATAAAGTCCGGTGACATTCCTCATGGAAAATCGCGTTATTTCTTAGAGACCTAGCTGGAACATGCAAGTTGATCCTGGCCAGTAACTCCGGACAAATTATTCGCCCATTAATTAATTTATATAGGAACATTAAATCCATAAAAATTCTTCTATCTTCTAATGTAATTAATCTAACTTTATTAAAAATGATATCATATGTATGATCAGAGTAAGACATCGAACGGTATAATAACTGATTCTACGAAGAAATCTGTGTTGGACTCTTTCAATCCGGACACAAAGATTTTGCTGATATGGAGCCCACAGAACCGATGCATATTCCAGATTCGGCCGAACCAGCGCACAAAACAATAGCCGCACCGTGTTAATATTTACAAAATATTTACATGCTCTCATTATAAATCCAAGCGTCTTGTAAGCACGACTCGTGCATAAGTTTACGTGCTCCTCGAAAGACAAATCACAGATTTGACACCAGTAGATTTCTTTTTATGGGGAACCCTAAAGGACATGGTCTACAAAGAAGAACCAACTACACCTCAAGCCATGCAACAACAGATTATTACAGCCTGTACATTAATAACTCCAAACGTTATTAAAAGAGCAACTCAATCAATAATCGGAAGAATCTAGTCTTGCATCGATAATAATGGCCATCACTTCGAACATCTTTTGTAAAGATCACTGCTGAAAGGCATCTGAGCAAGTACTCAGGATAAACTAGACATGAAAATGGGTTGAAATAAAATTAAAATAAAAGTCAGTCAATCATACACGATGTATCCGTTCGAATATCTTTTGTAAACGTGAATTTTATTTAATAATAAAAATGTATTTCTATCGATTTTTCTTTACTTTAAATCTTGTTCAATGATCTTATGTCGTGAGTTCTGAACTTGTTTCGAGTTCCTCTATCATATTATAGAAAAAAAACATATTGAATCCATTTAAAAAAATAAAGATGACCTTGGTATCTCCGAAGCGCCTTCACCTGGACAAAAATTATTATTGCCATATGATAGCCCCCTTCGTACCGTGCAATTTTGTTACACAAATCTTCCTCTGGGCCTCATAGATTCGAAGATATTTAATTCCTATTAGTTATTGCCTCATCCTGTATATATACAGATTTCTGATGTGTCGAATTCGTTTTTTTTTCTTTTTCGCGTTCCGCGGCTCATGTCTGTCCTACTATATACATACAAATTCCGTCGAGAACAAAATCAAGAATTAAAAAAATCGCGAACCGTATATTTAATTCTTTTTTTTATATATTCGCGGCGATTCCTAAGGGGCTTCACGATCTACGTCCTGGTTCCCTGGTGTCACAGGCCCACCTGGAATTGATTCGGGAATCGGACCTTTCTTCCCGTTCTCGTCGTCGTCTTGTCCTCTCGGCGCGGCACTTTCGTGTCGTCGCGCGTTCTCCGTCCGTCGACCGCACCTTCTCAGCTCCGTGTCGCCGACTCTGCCGAGCTGCTGCTCTTTGCTTCGGGCTGCAAAATATAAGCGGGTTTAAGCCGGTTTATCGAGACCGTTTTCTCTTTGCCGTGCATGCGCACGACAAAGATCTTTTCGTTGCGGCTGACGATCGCGTATGGTCTCATACGGCGCCTGCAGCATCGTCCTCGGCCCGTCGTGTCGCACGAACACCTGTTCGGCCGTCGCCAGGTCCCGGTAGACAAACGGCCGTTGTTCCCCGTGTCGGGTTCCGTCCACCGGTCGCAGCTTCTCGAATTGCTCCCGCAGCGTCCTCACGAAGCCGGCAGCGTCGTCCTTGTTGTCCGCAGGCCGTCGGCTCAGAAATTGCCCTGAGATCCTCAGCGTCTGGCCGTACACCAGCTCCGCTGCGGTCGCCTGCAGGTCGTCTCTCCACGCTGCTCGGATCCCGAGCAGCACCGTCGGCAGCACCTCCGTCCAGCGATCACTCTGCCGACATTTGATTGCCGCCTTGAGCTGGCGATGGAACCGTTCGACCGTACTCCGTCGTCCTCAAGTGCTGCACTCCTGTCAGCTCGCTCAGTCGCCGAAAAAGATTGGACTCGAACTGACGCCCCTGGTCCGTCGTTATTCGTACGGGCGCCCCGAATCGGCAGATCCATTCTTTGTAAAACGACCTTGCGACCGTCTCCGCCTTCTAATCTCGTAGTGCGAACGCCTCCGACTACCGTGTGAAGCGGTCCACGCACGTGAGGCAATATCGCATGCTCTCCGAGACGGGCATCACGATGATGTCCAGGTGGACGTGCTCAAATCTGCTGGACGGAACAGCAAATCTTCCCAAGGGCGCCGAGACGTGCCGAAAGATCTTCGATTGCTGACAGGGCACGCATGCACGTGCCCAGCTGCGGCAGTCCGCGTTCATCGACGGCCATACGTAGCGCTGCGCCACGAGTCTGCCCGTCGCCTTGATTCCCGGGTGTGCCAGATTGTGCACCAGGTTGAATGCGGCCCGCCGAAAGGGCCTTGTCAGGAACTGCCGCGGTGTCGCAATATACTTGTATCCCGTTCCGGGAATCTGCACTTTCTCAAGCTTCAATCCGGTCTCCCGCCGTGCGTAGTCGTCGAGCTCCTCGTCTGTCCCCTGCGACTTCGCCAGTGCAGCGTAGTCCAAGGGAGAATAAAGCTCCTCGACTCGAGATAATGCATTCGCCACGATGTTCTCCTCGCCCGTCACGTGCCGAATGTCGGTGGAAAACTGCCCGATGAAGTTCAAGTGGCAAAACTGGCGCGGCGTGCTCTTCTCCGGTCTCTGTCGGAAGGCGTAGATCAGCGGCTTGTGATCTGTGTAAATCACGAACGCGCGCGCCTCCAGCATATATCGGAAGTGCTTGACCGCCAGGTAGATAGCCAGCAGTTCCCTGTCGAACGCGCTGTACTTTACTTCGGCTGGGCTTAGCTTCTTCGAGAAGAAGGCTAACGACTCCCATCCGTCGCTGCCTCGCTGTTGCAAAGTCGCGCCGATGCTCTGCTCCGACGCGTCAGTGAACAGGGCGAGCTCTGCGTCTATCCTGGGGTGTCGCAAGAGCGCGGCCTGCGCCAGACTCTCCTTTGATTCCTCAAATGCCTTCCGCGCTCGCGGCGTCCACGATATCGTTGCTCTTCCCTTGATGTTGCCGTGGAGGAGGTCGTTAAGCGGCGCTAACATCTCGGCGGCTCTCGGTAGGAATCGTCTGTAAAAATTGAGCATGCCTAAGTATCTTCGCAGCTCCTTTGCCGTTCCTGGCTCTCCACACGCGCCGGCAGCGGTCGCGTTCCCCCGTCGGAAACCTCGTATCCGAGGAACTCCACCTTCCCCTGCCCGAACACGCACTTCGCGGGGTTGATAGTCACCCCGTATTCTCGTAGACGCTTGAACACTGTTCTCAGATAATCTCGATGCTTTTCCTCCGATGCCGATGCGACCAGGATGTCGTCGACGTACGCGTAGCAAAACTAAGCCGCGTAAAACCTCGTCAATGAATCGCTGGAACGTCTGCGCCGCGTTTCTCAATCCAAATGACATGTACGGAAATTCGTATATGCCAAACGGTGTGGTGATCGCCGTCTTCGGGATGTGCTCCTCCGCCACTGGAATCTGGTGATACGCCCGCACCAGATCTATTGTCGTAAATATTTCTTTTCCTCCAAGAGCCTGTGCAAAGTCCTGTATATGACGCACAGGATATCGATCCGGGATCGTTCTCGCGTTCAGCGCTCTATAATCGCCGCAAGGTCGCCACTCTTCGCCCTTTTTCGGCACCATATGTAAAGGCGCCGACCAACTGCTCTTGGAAGGTCGCGCGATTCCGGCTTTTACCATTCGTCGGAACTTCTTCTTCGCGGCTGCAAGTCGATCCGGAGCGAGTCTCCGTGGTCTGCACGTGACAGGCGGTCCCGGCGTCGTCTCGATAACGTGTCGCGTGGCGTGAATTACTTTTTTTTATTTGTCCTCCCGGCTTCGTTATGTCCGCGTATTCTTCCAACAACCGGTGGTATGGTGTCTTCCCCGTGATTGTTTTTACCTGGGGCACGTCGCATTGGACACAACGCCCACGTGTGGTTAAGCTCGTCAGCTGGTCGACGAGGCGAGAATTGCGCAAATCCACAAGTAGGCCATAATGCGCAAGAAAATCGGCGCCGATTATTGGTCTTGAAACATCCGCGATCACAAATCTCCATGCGAACGCCCGTCTCAACCCGAAATTCAGCGTCATGTTTTCCGTTTCATAAGTAAAAATTGGTGTGCCGTTGGCGGCCAAAAGTTCATAGGTCGATCTCTGTCGTAGACCTCGAACCATCTTCCGAGGAAACACGCAGAGATCCGCGCCCGTGTCAATTAAAAATTATATCTTTGTGTTTGCGTCAGTCACAAATAAACGGTGCGCATTGTGTCCCGGGTCGCTCGCCGCCTCTAACAACCGGCTCCTGCGTTTCCCTGCTGTTGCATGGAGCAGGATGCTCTGCACTGTCGTGCTTCCGCTCCGAATTGCCAGTGGTACCAGCATACGCCGCTGGCCGGTAGACCATGGCTGCTGGATCGCGCTCGCGGGCGCGAACGCGAACGCGAACGAGGGCGCGAACGACGTCGATCATCTTCTCGGTATCGACCGTCACCGATCGCCTCGATCGACTTCCGGATGGCCGTCAGCTGCTCCGCCATCTCCTGTTGCATGGCCAGCCGCATCTGGGCCAGTTGCACCTCCAATCTAGCTTCCAAGGCCCCGGGATCGCTCGCGCATTGCGTCTGCGGTAGCACGAATTTTGCTGCCTCGGCCACTTAAAAGGCCGGTGCTCGGGTCGCCTCGACAATCGCATCCGCGATATCTGTCAGTTGTTCAATCGTATCCGTCGTACGCGTCACCAAATATATGCTGGCGGCTGAATATATGCTGGCAATCAGCTCAATCAGATCGTCCGCAAGACGGGGTCGCCAACCACGTTTCCGGCAAGGCCGCGGAGGTGTCGCAAAAATTGCGACGGCTTGCGGTCTCCAATCTCCTCGTGTTCCAGGAGCCTCCAGGTCTTATGCTCCTGTGACAAGCTCAGACGCTTGACTAACTCTGTCTTCAGCGTCTCATACGCGTGCTCCGCAGGCGGATTCATAATGATATCTCGCACCTCGGCAGTGTAATTCGGCCCAATAGATGTTAACGCGTATCCGAACTTCGTCGCGTCGACCGTGATTCCGGCGGCTTGGAAACTCCGGTCGACGATGTTAAACCAGAGCACCGGATCCGACGGTGTAAATTCTGGCATTCGCATGCCGACACGGTTTATCTCGGGGGCGGTTAAAAAATACCCCGGCGGCTGCTCCAATCTGACCGCTTGTATCGCAATGAGGGCCGCCTGCTGCACTTGCACACGCGGCTGCTCGAACGCCCGCGCCTCTGTCTCCACGCATGAACCGACCACTCCGTCGTCCCGCGTCACAATCATGCCAAATCGTTTTGCACTCACAGCTGATTACTCTCACTCCCGGGTCCGATCGAAGGTATCGTCTCACAAGTTAAAAATGTAAAAAATAATGAACTGCTCTCTCACGCGAACACAAAATCGCGAATTCCCGTTTGTTCGCGATCACGTCGGGACGTCACCACTTTAGTCTTTCGCGGCGCGATTACTTAATCGGTTCGGTGCGAGTCGGGAATTAAATGATGAGAGGCATTAATTGCAATTAAATGAAAGTATATTCTTCAAGAAAGCACAGTCTTTTAAAGTCGATACATGAATATTAAATCGCTCGGATTAATAATGTATGTCCGTACGCGGTGACTGTCGATAACGGAATCTCTTGCATGTAAAATTGCTCTTTCTATCTTTTGCCTCAAAATCGACCTTTGATAGGCTTCGAGAGGCTTCGAGAATTTTCTATTCGTTTACTTCCTTTGTTTCTTAATCGTCTTGATATTTGTCTCTGTGCTTCTCGTCTTTCGTCTCTATCTGTCTCGTCTGTTATGTTCTTATTTATATTTATTTATGTCTCAGTACTTTTCGCTTGTGTGTGTGACCGTATTCGTATACGTGTTTTTGTTCGATAATATTTGGGAAGTATATGACGATGTAATCGCCACATCCTAAATACCACAATACGCTGGCTATATGTGCACATGTACTCAAAGTCCGTGCGCCTGACTTACAGGTACAGTAATAACCGAAAATCGCCTCCCTCTCATCATTTATATTATCTGCATCTCCCGTGTCGTAAGCTATAAATATTTGATCTCCCTTGACCAGTAAATCAGAAAGTCTATACTCATAAGTGGTTGCATGGTACGGTCGCTCAAACTCAGTAATGGTGGTTGTCATACACGATGACTTGTTTAGCAACATATGTAACGAGATCTAAAGCTGACTTTATATATGTATTATCTTGACATTGGTAATAACCGTCTTTAATGTTTAATATTACAATTCAATTTATAATTAAAATATTTTTATTGCGCTAAAGAAAGCTTGAAATGTCAGCCAAAACGTTCCCAAAATGTTTATTTCTTGTGTATTTATTATTTGGTTTAAATGAAGTTTATTAATATCAACTGTCAACTGTATTACGTTTAATAGTTCTTATAGCCCTTCTTTGTTTACAATTATTGCAGAAAAAAGTTAAAAGAGCTTTTTTAGTAACGTTTCTGATACCACGTTGTTAGGGTATAGGATCGCAATATGTATACAATTCTTGAAATTGTTGTTTTGTAATGGATGTTATACATTCAAATTCATTCTCTGTAAAACTATTTTCGTTTTCAACAATTATTATTATTTGTCACATTACGAAGAGCCTCTAAGAAAACTTGCAGTTGCTGACCTTTTATTACATATGGTCTGTATATAAATTGCAAATCTAATAACAGTAACTCTAAAATAAATCCGCGATTATCCAAATGTTAATCACAACAATATACGTTTCTAGGAATATAAATATTTTTCAGAACAAAGACATTTACCCTGCATTCTAACAAACAAGAATTATTTTTGGTTTGAGTAAAAACGTTGAGTTGTAGACATGTTGGATCAAGTTCTACCTGTTTTATTTCATGTGCAATAGATACATTGCAATTAAAACATAATCGGCTTTCATTGTTTATATCAATGGGCTCCTGACCAAGTTCAGTTCGCCTAAAAACAGCAATTTGTCTTTTAATTGCATTATTATCGCCATTGATTCGAACAATTTGTCGAACTTGAAAAGCACGATCGCAAACATAACAATGGATTCGATGGATTAGATGTCTGTAAGCCATGATAATACTTTATTATCAAGTTGCGTAGCAATATCGGACTGATCAAAAATCAAAATCTTTTCTGGTGAAATAACTAAATGAATGAAATACACGAATATCAATAATATCAATATCAGACGTAATAGTGGAGAGTGTCGGTCGGATATTTCTAGCGCAGACATTATCATTACTAAGCGTATCCATTCTAGCGTTATTGCTGCCGAATGCTATCACTTTCTGGCATTGCTACGCAATTGTTGTGCCTCCGGGAAGGCACGGAAAATTTTGGGGTCTCAGTCGACTGAAGGATGAGGATCCTAGGATCGGCGGGCGTCTCCACTTTGATTAACTTCGCTTGTGTATTTGAATAAATCTTTTATTTCGCTTATTTCTTGAGTTGGATTAATTATGTATAATCCCACCTGGGTGATTAGTTAGGTGTGCTCGCTCTCGATAATCAGATTACAGGCGATAGTTATATTCTGCGGCTTGTCTTCGACTCCTAGTTAGGTTCTAATTAGCGACTTGACTTTTTGGATTTTCGTTAGCGACTCTAGATTTATTCTGACTTTAGCTGAATAACGACTCGTCTGATTACGAGTCGGGAGTTATCCTCGATGTGTCTCGGTAGGTTGGTCTAATTCAACTCGCTCTCTGTTCACTCCCGAGTTCTTACGTGAACTCGGTTTTTCGTTATTTCATTTGGAAGGGGTGCCTGGCGACAGGCACCCGATTGGTGCATAGCTTTTGCATACGCGGCTAGATTTTGAGCTAAGAGCTGTTCGAAAGATGAAGCTCTTAGCTTGCGTCTTCGCGGTTTCCGGCCCGCTGCTGCATCAGCGGTCTCCACGCGGATTTTATATCCGTTAACTTGTAATTATAGCCTTTCGGGCTATAACATTCCTCCCCCGTTAAAAAGAAAAACGGAGGTACGAAGTTTTTCGTTATACCATTGGTTTTAACAATATTTGATTATGTTGATATCTTATTCTATGTACAATTATAGTTTCTCCGATACATAGTAGGTTCTATAATCGTTTCTTAAAATCTAGTACTTTGACTTCTTTTTAGTATTGATCGCGGTATTTCGAAGTCATCGTTTATTATTACTTTGGCTATTTTTCGTTTTTATTTTTTCTTTTTACTATTATCCATGGATATTGCAGCTACTGTCATTATTATTCCGGTAAATGTCATTGGGTAGACAAATTGTTTCTGTGCATAAAAATTTTGTTTGTTGTTTTGTAAGTCATTGTCTATAGTTCCTGTCTGTTTCATGTAATTGTCAATTTGCTCGAAATATATTCCTGGACTATGTTTGAATTCTGTTATCTCATACGGTTGACCCTTCTCACTTTCCTTCTTGAGTACTGCAGCGTTGCAGGCTAAGAGTGAGAGTGCCTTGTAATGATATACATATAATTCTTCTTACTACTTTGTCCTTGATCTTGAATATGCTTTCGTTTGCAATTTTTTATCAAGCAAGAGGGGCGTTCGGTCTATATGTCTCCTGTCGTCCCTTTAGTCTTATGACAACCTTTGATTTATTACTATCGTTGCGTCTTCAAAAAAAAAATGGTTGATTCCGACATGTGGTTCGATTGTTCGCGATGCCATGTGGAGTTTGTGCCCTGGTGGGAACCGCTATGCTTCTCGTGTTTGAGATTTCTTAGATGTGTGGGCCCAGTTGTGGGGCCGGCATTGCCGACCAACCATTTTGAACGGGCTTTGGGGGCTGTCGCAAGATATGCGGCCAGCTCCTTTCCGTTTTCTTTACACGTGAGTGTAAATGTGCGGTCTGGTGTGCGCGTTGTGCGCGAAGTTGCTTTGGTGCCTCCCGAGGAGGGATTTATGATTCCGGCCATGCAAACTTTGAGGGCTTTGCAAGAGGGGCGGCCTCTCCCTTATGGACGTGTATATCACGAGGACGAAGCAGACAATTAGGTAAGTCCTAATTTTCAATAAATAATTTTAATATATTTGTGTGTATGCGTATCGCTCTTCTTCCTTTTTTTACTGTGTAATTTACGCTTGAATTTTTTTCTATTATTGTATACGGTCCTGCCCATAATGCGTCTAATTTCTTGGATCGTCCGCGTCGGAGTGTCTCGTCGTATACGAGTACTTTGTCGCCTATTTTAAATTCGGTTTCTTTCGCGGATTTATCAAAGTATTCTTTCGATTTTATTTTTTCCTCTTTAATATTTTCTTTTGCAAGTTGATTTGAGGCACGTATTCTTTCCCTTAGTTCCTGTAGATAGTCATCGTAATTATACGTCAGTTTAGGCGGTTTTGTTAGTGCCGTCGGTAGTTCGACTTGTCGTCCATATATTAGTTCAAAGGGGGTATATCCCGTAGCTGAATGAGGAGTGGTATTATAGGTAAACATTGCGTATGGCACCCATTCATCCCAGTCGGTTTGGTCAGCATTTATATATTGTCGCAAATATTCGGCTAATGTGCGGTGCGATCTTTCTAATGCTCCATTACTCTCGGGGTGATACGCGGTTGTTAGTATCTTTTTTATTCTTAATAATTTGCATATATTTTTAAATATTTCGCTCATAAAATTTGTGCCTTGGTCTGTTAAAATTTTTTCGGGAATGCCGTGTTCGAAAATTATTTTCGTAACGAACTCTTTCGCGACGGTATTTGCTTCCTGATTCGCGATCGGTATCGCTTTACTGAGTTTCGTCAGGCTATCCTGAAATGTTAGTAAATATTTGTTTCCGTTAGTGGTAACTGTTAACGGTCCGACGATATCTAATGCACATTTTTCAAATGGTTTATTCGGAGTATCTGTGATTACGAGGGGTGCTTTTATTCGGCGCGATAATTTATTTTTTTGGCAGGATTTGCATTTTGCGATATATTGTTCGACATCTTTTGTCAATCCTGGCCAGTTATAGTTTAATCAAATTCTTTTGATTGTTCGTTCGATTCCTTGATGCCCTCCTGTGGGTGCATCGTGATATTCATAGAGTATTTGTTTCTTTTCCTCTTCAGAATATTTCCTTGTATTATCTGCGAATTCTTCCTCTTCTTTTTCTTCTTCGTCTTCTTCTAACGTGAAGATTCTATTTTTTGTCTCCTCGTTGATATCTCGGGTTACTTGTCGGCTTAGCGCGTCGGCATTCGCGTTTGCTCGTCCGGCCTTGTGTATGATTTCATAATCATATTCCTCGAGTTTCAGTCTCCAACGGATTAATCTAGACC